GAGAACACAGACCAGGTACATTCAAGTTGCCTTAGACTGAAATGGCATCAAAACAAAAAATATATCAGTATTATCAGAGGCTGTGGATTATTGACACAGAGAACCTCAATCTATCTATAACTGAGGCAAGATCACCATAAAATCTACTTCTGAAGAGTAATATTAGAGCAAGATGAAAAAGCACATTCTCCTCACCCATCCAGACTTTGAAACAACTACGGCAGTACTATTCCTAGCAATGCAGTGAAACAATATAGTTTCATCTGTTTTGCAGAAAAATGTATTTGGTCCATGTGCTATAAATGGCTCAGGTGATCTTCATTTCCCAATAAATCTTCTGAAGTCAACGATATTGGTTCCTAATTTGAGACATTATTTCAAGCATACAACATTTCTATTAAGATTACCAGTATCTTGATAATACCCAAAGGGATGAATGAACCCAAACCAACTTTCCAAATTACATTGCACCTTGTGTCTATGAAATCACTACTTTAAGACTGTAACTGATGGATACTGTAAAGCAAGCAACTTAAAAAAGGGAACTAAAGCTTCCCCTCTGATGTCCTTTTCAAGATGAGCAGAGACCCTTTATACCCAGCCAGCAGTCCTTCTTGCAAGTCTCCTCATTAGTACAAACACCACAGCTTCTCCATTAATAAAATCATCAAGGGCCCGTTCTTCTCCAAACAACACACTGCTCTACCTGTGGTTAACCAGCTCTTGTATTTCACTATTCAGCAAAAGGGAATTATGCAAAATACCTACAAACAGTTCTTTCAGCCACCACTCAAAACTGACCTCATTTTCCAAGTACTTCAAGCACCTGAGCAGTTACACAAATCCTTCACACAGATTTAAGTTCATCCCAAGAGAATCCAATCAAACACAAATGGTGGTAATGGCCATCAACTATCTAAGCTAGATTTCTTTATTCTCCTAAAAAACTGAGGAAACCAAGCACTACAAGGGCTTCAAGCCTAACATTTTAGACATTTTAGACAGAAATCTAATATTTCAGATAGAAAAGGGTTGTAAAACATAAGACTAGAAATCACTAAAAATTAAGACAAAAAAAAAAAAACCCAGGAAGACCATCAACCCTAGCTGAGACAAAGAAAAGATGATTCTGACATATGCCAGCATATTAGACTTTAGCAAGCCTGATGCCACCATATCGGTGCAATTCCCTCGTTGGTAAATGAGAGTTCATGTCTCTGAAAGCTAGTCCCTCCAGCCTTAGCATTAGAAGACATGCATCACTTAATATTAAAAAAATAATAAAAAAAGACAAATTTGGATACAAAATATTTAGATAATCCCAAGTCTTCTGTAAATTATCTCATCGCACATTCATTCTAAATAAAAATCTCTTTCAACAAGACTCAACATTAATTCTGAAGGTCCACCAAAGAGGCCCAAACCAATGTGCCCCACAAATGATGCAAGACTGCATCTTAATTAAAGACTCATATCTAGTGTGCTGGTGAGCAGAAAACATACCTTTGATATAGGAGTAACTTCCTCTTCACATATTTCAAGATGTAGATAACAAACTTACCCAGAACAGACAGCAGAAACCACAAGGATAAATTGAGAAATGAACAGTTATTCTATCCCTATGCTTGCATTTTAATTTCCCAATCTTTATCTGCAGGCACTCAGGAACATGACTTAAAATACACTTACATTAAGAGCCTAATGTCTTCTTTTATAAAACAATAAACAATGGTTATGGCCATTCCTTTTTATATCCAACCATGCAGCCATCAATATTATTTCAAATGGAAAACTAGGTGATCCTATTTTCTTGTAAAAAAAAACCTCAATATAGCCTACCTTCTTCAGTATTTTGCTCTAAAAGAGTAACAACAACGAAAGCTCCTCAGTTAAGGAAGAGGTTCCTTTAAAAGAAGCAAAAGGCCAATATGAGGAGTGTTTGCCAAAAATACAGCAAGAGTTGACCACCAGCATAAAGTGTTCACTCCACAAGTGCCAAATTTTTAATAAAAAAAAAACCATTTATTACAACAGAATATTACAAAGAACTAGCTTCAATGATCAACAAATAAAACTTTACAAAATGCAAACAATGTAATTTCCGACTGTGGAGTCACATATATCCCAAGTTTACAAACACAACATCTTTTTGTTTATGCCCACTTAAAAATCATTTCCAGTCTGCTTTATTTTCCATCAAATACAGTACATTTATCCAAACAAAAGCATGTACATTCAACATAGAACATTTTCAGCAAAACTACAATCTTAGTTCCCATTCACAGTATTTTTAGTGCAATGCACTAACAGGGCCAAATAGTTCTCTATCCATAAAAGCATTTTTACTCCTGATCTTGTGATCAACATTTAGATATATTTTATACAAAAAAAGTATATATGAACACAAGGTACCTCCCTAAGTAAGGGAGTGAACCGATATAAAAAACATGGTATTTTTTCTGATGTACAATACCTTTCAAATTGTAGCAATTTGACACAAATCACTAAACAAAATATTTTCTAAAAGGTAAAAAATAAAAATAAAAAACAACAAAAAACCCCAAACAACAAAAAGAAACCCCTGAAACAAAACCCACGATTGCATGAAACCTGCCAAGAACTTCATAATGGTAGGCATGCAACTGTTTTACTACAATCTTGATTAAAAGGTTTAAAAAAAGGGTATCTAAACATTTTCCAATTACACAAAGTCAAGTGTTACCCATAGTGGTCATTTACAATTTTGAGAGAAAATATATTTTGAGTTTCTCCCAAACTATCCTCCCTTTTTATTAATATTTAATGAAATAAGCTATCATTATAAGTGGTTGTGCACAGATTGTCTATAATACATCAGCAAATATTCACTACCTTCATATTAACATTAGTGTGTTGATCTTTCAAAAATAAACTGCAAAAATAAACTGCAACTATCATTAAAGTGCTTGTGTATAATTTTTTTAAAAAATTAAAGAATAGAGGAATGTGGATATTCTTGTAAACTTTCTAGATGTTTACAAACTTTTCCTATCAACCACATATGGAAACAAAATGGAGGTCTCTGAAGCAACTTCAGCACAGTGAAATTCAGAATGTCCTTGAACTGGGAAATTAGTCAACATGAACAAACTGAATTTATGGCAAATACTAAAAATTAGTAGAATTCAGCCAATAAACACTACATTTCTTGCTCTTATACATTCATTTGTAATAAATTTAAAACAATATATAATACAACATTTACCAAAGTAGGGTATCACATCAAAGTTTGAGCTGTCCATCAATTAGCACTGTCAGGGAGGACCAGTATGCATGATGAGTTTCCTGAAGATTTCCTAAATGAGGAAAATCCACCTTCTTCCAAAGCTGCTGCTCTTTAATTTGTCTCTTGTATACTCTTTTTCAATTTCAGAGGTTTGTTCAATACTGGGTCAAACTACAACTACATAGAGATAACTGCTAATTTAAAAGCATGTGCATTTCACTTCAACTACTTCAGTGTTTTGGGAAGTGGTACTGTCCTACAAGCAGTCAGAATGATTATTAGTATAGTAAGAAAAAAAACAGCTTATGAAAATATTCTCTCCTTATAGTACCATTATCAAGAATTAGCAGTTCCACCAACAAACTAAAGTCTTTTTCATTCAAATGAACTTCAAACTTTCCGAACATCACTTGAACCTATCTGAAGAGAAATGGGAATAAATTAATACTTTGAGTTTACCCATATAATTCTGTTTTAAACTACACAACATAAATAATTTATAAGGTTAAATTCTTAATTCTTATTCAAAATGCAGAAGTCACTCCCCCTCTAGAATTCAGCATATTCAGGGTTCAACTCAGTTCATTTTTGAAGTTCTGCCTAATTTGGTCAGAATTTATTAGAAAGTCATGAAAGCACCACATCACAATTTAATATAACTAGGTGGTTATTCACTGTGAAAACTGAACTCTAATCAAATCACCTCCCAGAAAATAGCGTTTCAGAGCTGAAACATAGAACAAGGCACATGTACTTTGTTTTCTTTTTACCAAATATGCTAGAAAGATGATTCAGAATAAGGATGTTAAAAACTCCTAAAATTGTCACTACAATCTCTCTTCATCATATTTTTGTACAATCCCCAACCTTCAGCCATCAGTTGGTCAGTTTGAAATACAAAGTGACTGCACACAAATATTTTCTTTTTTAAAAGATCCTCTAAAATTAGGCCATGGCAAGGCCTATAGAAAACTGAGTAGCTACAAATACAACCCCTCCAAGTGTAAAAAATTCCAAGAGCACCACATAAGCCAAAGTTTAGAAAATCCTAGGGCAGATTTCAATACATATCAAGGCTTAAAGCAAAGACTTTGATAAGATTTAAACAATTTAAAATACTAAATGACCACAAGTGTCCAAACCTGGGCTTATATAAATAACCACTAAAGAATAGAATTCTAAATTTGATGGTTTCAAAGGTATTTGCAGACACCTAACCCATAATGATTTTAAATCAAAGCAATTAAGCAACCCAATTATATTAAAAAACCTGTTCTATGCACTTTTGTTGACAGTATGTTGGTAATACACATTAAAATAAAAATTTAAATTCACAAATGCTAATTCCAGTAAGTTCACAGAGATTTTTTCTATTATCAGCTTTTACTTTAGTACTTTTAGTACTTCAAGTGGTCACAGCAAAGTTAATTAAATGAGTTAAGTTATTCAATCCAAACAAAATTGTTACTTTTTAAAAATTACTATTTTTAAAATGTACTTATATTAGCCTTTTTACAACAGATGCCTTACGACAGTTTAAAGAGTTGACTTAGTACAGCTTAATCTAAATTCCATCTTTCTACAATGACAAATTTAGTTTTAACTCTTTTCCAAAATGCTAAAAAAAAGAAACAAATTTGACATCAACTTTTGCATTTAAGCCACTAAACCATAAAATCTATAGGAAAATATGTTTTAAGTAATAAATCAACAACAGCAAAGAAATGCAGTAGTATTGTTGTTTGGGTTTTTTTAATTAAAAAAAAAGAACAAAACACTTTTTCTTTTTCCTCACCAGACAACAGCTTTAGATCTTGTACTTCTGCCTTTGGTTTTACTTTCTTCAGGTGAATGAGATACATTTGCTTTGTGGGTTTTCTTGTGATGTTCTAGAAAAGCTTTTCTGGCAAATGCTTTCCCACATTTATTGCATCGGTGCAGAGAGAAGTTTTTTGTTACTTTTACTTCAATGCCAACATCAGCTCCTTCATACTTTTTACTGGGAGAATTAGAGGTGACATCCTGTTTTGAACCAATATGTTTTGTTTCATCCTTCTGAGAACCTCTTTTTGTCACCTTATTTAGAACAAGATCAATTGGCTTCTTTATTGCTCTTATTTCTAAACTTGCTGTTATTTTCCCGAGGTAGCGTGGCGACTTTTTATGAACCACAGTTATGTGTCTGATCACATCACGCTTGCGACGCGTTTCGTAAGAGCAGAGTGGACACCTGTAGTATTTAACATAAATATTATTTCCATCTGTGTGTAATTCAATGTGTTTTGTTAAATTCTGTTTAGACGTAAATTGGCGCTTACAGAGTTTACAGTAAAGCTGCTTGAAATCAAAGCCAGCTGAAAGTTTTGGCTTCCTGGTTTTTTGCTGGCCACCTGCAGCAGATGCATTGGTTGATTTAGGGGTTGATTTAGTGGTTGATTTGCAGGTTGATTTAGTGCTTGATTTAGTGGTTGATTTTGTGGTTGATTTAGGGTTTTCAGGGTCCTGTTTAACCTTATTTTTCTGTGCTGACGGTGTGTTCTTTTTTTCATTTGAATGATTTGTTCCCTTTAATTCATTCTGTGGAGAAAGCACAATAGAAGGGGGTGAAGGTTCTACAGAAGCTGCTGGTTCAACTTTGATTTCTGTGCCATTGGTAGTACTGTTGGGTCCTTTCTCTCTTTTAGAGTTCTTTCCAGAAAGAATTATCTTGTGAACAATTTGCATATGCCTTTTCAGCATTATCTGTGAACTATATTTTCTCTTGCACAGAAGGCATTTGCATGCACTTAAATTGTATTCAGCCTTTGAAGACGACTTTTGTTTTCTGGTCTTAAAAGTTTTTTTAGCAGAAACTGTATCCAAGAACAAAGGTTGCCCAGGCTTTGTAGCTATATCAGGAGTAATGGAATCCCTTCTTAATCCTCTATGAACTTCATCAAAATGCCTCCTTACATTGGCTTTTGTGGCAAATGATTTATAACACACAGGACAACTTCTACCTAATGTGACAAGAACATTCTTATTTCGTCCTTTTGCAGAGCACTGGTTTGGTTTCTTTTTTGTTTCTATATACTTCTTTAGTTCTTCCATCTTTTTTTTGTGTACTTTTCGAATGTGCCGGCGTACACTGCGTCTTGAATGAAATTCCTTCCTACAGAGGCAACAAATCAGCTGGTGGCCATAATCAGAATTATCCAGAGAGTCGGAGTCAGGATTTACCACAGCTGGCTGCTCTTCAGAAGTAGATATCACCTTGTTGGTAACAGGATCAGCAGGAGGTAATTCTACAGTATCCCCAGCTGGGACTGGGGCTGGAGCTGAAACAGTCTTGGGTTGCTCAGTGCTGGGTTCCTGGATCTGTACCGGAGCTTGATCAGGGGTATGGCTACTTTCTGTGTTCTCAGCTGGGCAATCAGTCCTTGACACATATTGAAACACAGCATTTTGATTAGTTTCTATAGGTTCTAATGTAATGATATATTCTTGCTTATCTACCCTTGGATAGATTGCTTCAAGAAGGTCATTTATGGCTTGACTCTGCTTATCTTTTGTATCTGGGAGGTCTGTGAAAAGAGGAAATGGCATTTTTTAATGATTTGGTAATTTCCAATTATTTCAATTTCAAAGTAGCTTTTAACCACTGTGTGAATTCAGTTTACAAAATTCCACAAATCCTCTTTTGTACTCTCTGAACACTCAAAGGCTTTGAGAAATCATTGCAAGTTGCCTTTTTATTAAAAGCCAGCATCGGAAATAACTCTCCTGGCATGCTAATGTGAAAGCCACCTGAACTAAAAATTTGTATGACTGGAATTAGGCTGGTCTTTAAAAAAAACTATATCAATTGCAAGAATAACATCATTCGACTGAGCTTGTTTTGCAGGTGTGCAACTAAGCCTGAAGTATCATTAAAAACCGATTTTCCTACCATGGGATACAGGCACTCTCAATAAAGGAACCTAATTCTGGAAATAAGCTCTTCTCTGTAAATTCTGAACAATCCTTACCAAAGAATGAAACAGCTGTGTAACCTGAGGTAGATATAAGTAGATAATATTTATAGGTCTCAGTAATATTCTCTTTTTAAAAATGCCAAATTAGTTCAGTGCTCTAGTTCCCAGTGTGACACTCAAAGCATCTGCAATGGCAAAACTAGGAAGCTGGGGTCCTACAGCACAGAAGGTGCTGAGATGACATAGCTCAAATTATTGTGGATAATTTTAAAGAAGTGAGTCTTGGTAATAGCTAATTAAAAACCCACAGTCAGAGTTATTGCTTCCACACCCAGCAATATATGGAAAGTGTTAGTATAAAAAATAGGCTGTTTTGTTGCTCCAACCCCACTTTTAACACTGAATTTTTAACAGCTTTTACCATCAGTTTCAAATGAGCCTAGCTACATAGCTTTTACCACAAGTAAAAAGTCCTTCCTATTTTATAGATCTTTTAAGACTACTTCATGATTATATTGAGTGTATGGATTTTTCACAATGGTTTGCTGAACTTTTATTCCTGCCTCTTGTTCACCATCTTTTATTTCTTGAAAAAACTCCCACTTAGCTCAATAACTACACTCAATTTTATATAATGCACAAGTATATATACAGTTATATTCAGAGTGTGTAGTATTATTCCTTTTATTTGCACCTCTCATAGTGAACAGTGGAAGTTATCTTATTTGTATGTTACTTGCACATTATTTCATATTAATATCTGGAAGTTAATCAGAAAGTTAAATGAAGGCTAGAATGCCAGGAGCTCAACATTAAGTCTTTCCTCAAGGCAATCTTACTTTGCTTTGAAACTATTACATCTAAGGTCACATGCACTTGTAACTTTGCTTTGAAACTACGAGTCACCCCTTCTCACACAGAAGCTCTGTGACTCTAACTGGCCAAGCAATCTCATTTAAGGAAGGTGACAGTACGAGCCTTTTCACCTTCTCCTTTCAGCTGACACCATGTGCGAAAAGAAACATCAAAATGTATCTCTGTTTATTCCTAATTTTTGTAGTACTGAGGCAGGAAGGCATTACTCAGGAAAGAAAAATCCTCACTGCACCTATATTGATCTAGAGAAGAGCTCAAGATAATTAGCTTTACAAACATTTTTGAATTCTGACATTTCCAGATTAATCAATTTTACTCAGATTAACAAAAAGTCATCACTGGAATGAGACTGTAATAATTTTTTCTTTCCATAAAAATATAGTCCTTACCTTTTTCCTCATAATTTAAGTAACTTCTTTAATAATAAAGCTTATTTTCCACAACAACAATGTATGGCTAGGCATGATCACATCGGATATGTTAAAGCAGCATACAGTTAAGTGAAACAGGGGCAAAGAGACAGCATTATACAAGCACAGATCCCTAAATAAAAGGGTAAACTTTTAGTCTGTATTTCATACTGACTAAAACCAAAAGACTGCATCCATGACACACACACTGTATTCTCTCAGTACAAGAGAATATTAAGGATATTGACCTAGGTCACTTCACAGGAGTGGAATCACCCTGTCAGAGCCACTGTCTTCTGTGAGATTAGCTTCCCAGTCCTTTGACACGCTTTTGATATCTTTCTCAGTAATGGACAGATGGGAAAGAAAAAGGGTAAGAAGGAGTAAGAAGTGTTAAGAGTGACACTTAATTAAAAGGCTAGGTGTATAAACTAGCTATCTAATTATGATATTGGCATGGCTCTTGGTTGTTAATTCATATAAAGTCATTGCTGTAGCTCCTTCAATAACATAAAAGTGATCTACATACCTTACTACAGAAATTTAGATCCACCTCGTTTTTTTGCATTTTGTTTCAGGTATGTTTGTGTAAACAGTAATGAAAGATAAATTTTTCAACTTCACATAGCTTTATTAAACATTTAAACAAGACATTAATAAGACTTACTATCATCCATCTGAAGACTTGGAGGACAATAAAACTTTTTATGAGTAATTAAATTTGGTAATCCTCTGAAGAGACTCCGGCACAATTTACACTCAAAAATGGTGTCCACATCTCTTAACAAGATATGTTTAAGTTGTTTCGTTCCTGTAATAAAATAAATATTACACTTATGGAAGGCTTTCTGTTCATCTCTTAATTCACATCATCCCATGAAAGTGGAAACATTTTAGACCATGAATAATTATAATAGCATTTATCTTTTGTTAGTGCTACTTAATTTGTAATGGAAGTTTATGACACATGCTCCAAATTTCACTATGAAGACAGGAATGAAAAAAAAACCCTCAAGGATTACACACATTACAGTTTACAGAGAAGGTGCAATTATTTACAATAAAAACTAACATCTAACATTAGGAAAGCGTTCTTACTACAGTATTTGGTTGTTGCAATACAATTGCCCAATAGGAAAGAATAAGCACATAGAGCATTCAAAGAAGCCTGTAGTATTTTTTCTTTAGGGTTACCCTACAGTGCTAAGAAAACAAGACACATACAGCTATTTCACATAGAAATGGCACCTGGTAAGGCAAAAAACTAAAGCATTAAATAGACCAAAGAGAATCACTAACACGTCAAGAAAGGTTACTACACTTAGATATCTAACCCAAGTCTGAGATGATGACACTTAGGCGAGATAGTAGAAATGTAGGCAAATTTTCAGCCTGAAGAAAGGAAAATACATACAACTTAAATCTGAAATATCTCTATTAAAACATAGAGAGTGTGATAAAATGTCAGATTCCCAGACTATTATGTATTGTATACAAAGATAATTAGATCTAGCATTGTTGAAATGTTCCAGCTCCTGTCATTTTTTCTACTCTTCAAACTTAGTCCTTCATTTTTCATCTCATGAAAATTATGACTGTAAAACCTAAAATTAGCAAAAGATTACTAAATTATGCTTACCCACTCCAAATTAGAAAGGAGCACTAATTAACAAAATTCAGCTATTTTACCTATCTTGATTTTTTTTTTTTAGAATTTAATTATTCAAAACTAATCAAACAAGGAAAAACATAATGAAGCTGGGCCACCAATAAATAATATAAACACCTATGGAACAGCAGCAGAAAGACATTCTTCAAGCTGAACTACAAGGTCAAGTGTTCTGTCATCTCATCACACTTCTCCTAAGAATTCCTTTCAAATGCCTTTCTCAGAGTCAAACTGCAGAACTATTGTCTAAATTACAATCTTTCAAATATTAAAAATTTCACAATCGGCTATAGTTCTTCAATACAAATGGGCCTTACCAAGAACACTTATTTCTTGGTGCAATAAGAATACTACAAAGCTTTCTAAATCTGAATTTCAGCAAAGCACAGTGTCTTCTTCAACATTCCTTAAAAATGGTATCCAAACTCAACCATCCGAGGCTACCACAGTTTCTGTCCCTTCCTACGCCTTCCCAAGCCATATCCACTGCTCTGTCTTTGAGTGACACTAATTTCACCCTCATTTGACCTGCATTTTTACAAACAGACTACTGAACTGTATCTACTAGTATATATACTACTATATTTAGTAGTAACAACAAATAAAAATTGTACAGAATTCCCCACAAAAGCAAGTTGTTTACTCTGATCTCACCAACATTTGAATTTCTGCATATAAACAAAATCTAGCTGAACAAAACTGAAAATGCTCCATGTAGATAAAATTCTATGCAGTTCATGCATGCCCTAGCTACAAGTCTCATTCTCAAAAAAAAAAAATCGAATTCTCCATTACTACCCAGTCAAAGGACATACACGTTCTTCATTCTCTCCCCTATTATATTGGTATTCAGTCTCCTGGTCAGGACTGAAAAGTTTTTTTTTCAAGGACTTAAGAATTACTGGATGAGATTAAAGGATTTATGACATATTGGAAATTATTCTATATGACATGGTAGTCATTCTGACTGCAAATCATCCTTATGCATCTGTGAAACCTTTCACAGGTGGGAGTAAAGAAAAATAATTGGTCCTTTTGAAATAAACTACAGATATTCAGGAACTTCTCAAAACAGCAAAAAAATTTAAGTTACTGAACTCTTTTCTATTTTGTAGTTACATCTAATTGCATATTGAGATGGCAATGCAGGTAATACCTTGTCGAATTCTGTTAATATTTGTAAATGTTGATGCTAGAATAACATCACAGTCACAATAAATTGGTAGAGAACACCAGTCATAAATATCTCTATCAGAAATTCCAAAATTCGTGACTTTTCCAAGCATTTATTTTTTAGAAAAAAAACCCTCAAATTCACTTTTTATTCTTAATGCTTTGAATGACAGGAGCTTTTGATAAATCTATTTAAACAGTTATGTACAATACTCTGTCTTAAATTTCTATTCCTTCACACAAGAATCAAATACTCTCTTTCCATAATGAAATGCTGCTTCTTCAAAAGCAGCCAGTAAAATCCTTGTCTAAGTCCTCTTGCCTTCTGTCCAACCTCCCTGATGCAGGTGACTGATGATATCAAAGTAAGCTATCCATTTAACATCTGCCAGTGAGGACAATGTGCAAGTAGCTCAGAGACAAGCCTGCAACTAGTTTGTGCTATTACCAGTAGCAGATTAATGGAATAATCTGCTTCAAGCAAAAGTCTGTCACGCATCTCTGAGGCCTCAAGCAAGCTAAAAAAGGTTACTAATGAATAATCACACATCCTGTTTTTGTATTAAGTTACTGAACAACTTAAATACTGTACCCATTTACAAGACTCAGACCAGATATGCATCTCATTGCACAGCAGCAGTGTTTTAATACACAATGCATTTCATATACTTAAAAGAACTACAGGAAAAAATCTAGATACACATAGATAGTAGCACTAAAGACCAAGAGTTGTGAAAGTAAAATGTTTGGTTTGCCACATCAGAAGTGTAGAAACAGCTTGAAAACACTGAAGGTTTGAATCTTCCCTGGCATGCCTCCTCAAATGCTTAGCTGTTCATTGCTACGTATTGCAACTCACAAACTCAATCAAGGAACAGCTTAAAAGTAATATGATGAAGCAATTTAAGATGTTCAAGATTAATTTTTTTCTTCACCTCAGGAGTTTTATGATAAACTCATTGATCATAGCAGCAGAAATGACACAAAGCAGAACAACAAACTTAAAAATTAAGGTTTTTGAAGGATAACTATACAGCAAGATCTGTATCTTCATTACTTTCTATGAAAACCCTTATGAAAAGGAATACCTAATTCCAAAAATGTACAAATATTTTGTAGATATGCATAGTCAGGTGCTGGTTATTTTAATACACTGAATAAACATAACTCTTTTAATAAGGTAATGAACTTCTTAAGGGTAAGGCATGGTTTCCTACCTGATCGAAAACACTCAATGATTTGCTGAATACCAGATTTTGATGTTTGCAGAGGCTGCTGCAATAACGGAGGATCACCAGGTTCCAACAGATGCACTGAAATACATGAAAGGATAATTAAGACATTAGAAAACACTCAGTTAATTTTTGTAATTTAAGAATCGCCCATACATACAGTAAACTAGCTAAAAAGAACAGCCAGGACTACTAAAAAGTAGTCTTACTCTAAAATTTTCAGTTATATTGAATTAAAAAACAGTCAACACTGAACTTTCCAGCTATGATACCTTCTGGCAGTTTGCTGTCATTTTGATCACTTTTTTTGTCTGTATTCAAAGCTACATGTAAAAAACACAGAAATATTTAAATATATAAAACCAAATTAACTCACTAGAAATGTCCATCAATTAATTCCCCAGAACAATCTACTTGATTCCCATTGTTAAAACTAAATGACATGTACAAAAGAGCATTACCAAATACTGATTACCAGCATTAGCAAATACTTCACAGCACATTACCTGACTTCAATGTCACCAGTATGCACCTAAACACTGAAGCCAAATTTAAGCAGCAATGATCAGAAAGAAAGCACAAGCAAAGCTACATAGCATATACCAAAAAACCTTTTGTGTAACCACAAAAGCTACATTCAGGAAACTGTTCAGGCTCAAATAAACTGCTGAGGGAATACTTTATTTCTGATGTTTCTTTCCATATCATATTCTTTGTAAAAGCTATCAAAACTAAAGCATATGTTAATCAGAGTTTTTATCAATTCCAATATGCAGTATTTATGCACATCAAAATTAATAGCACTCCACTGCTGTATATAGATATGGCAATTAAGCTTTGCCCAGAGGGAACCCAAATTTACAGGAATAAGAATACTTCTTGAAGCATGCACTTGCAAAATCTTTAGTTAGGTCTTCTTTTATATTTCTTATTGACTAAACAGCCAGCCTCACACTTCATAAACTGGCTCCCACCTTAACCATTTGGTTTGATTTTAATCCCATTGTAAGGTTTTCATTTCTAAATGTAGCACTGAGATCTCTAATAAATTTATTTTTAATAAAAGCCAGTTGAGACATAGTATAAAACTATTTAGAGATAATAAGTGCAAAAAGGCTAAACAAATTTTGACAGGAATGTTGAGCTAAAAGGTTATAAATAAATTCTAGCTGAAAAAAACATCAAAAGACAAAGCATTGTAGAAAAGGACAACAGAATGAACATTCCACCCGACTATCCAGGTTCCATAATATACCATTATAAATACAAACACATAACAACCATGACAAATCAGCTAATCATCTGGGGATCTCTAACACAGTGGCATATTGTATTCTACTAGCCTAATCCCTACACTTCCAAATAAAACATTTTGGCTCGTATACAGTCTCTAATACGCATGTACAACACCAACTGACATCAACAGGAGTAACACAGGTGAAGCAGACCTAACACATCACTGTTAATTTGTCAGGCAAGAAAAATACTTTTGTTTTTTTCAAGCATTAGAACAACTCAAAACCATTTCATCGTCAACATAAAGCAATGTTTCTGCTAACTGAACAATATCTATTCTCAAATTACATTTCACTCAAAGTCACTGTGCTCACATTTTCATCTGTTAATTCCCCAAACTGATGCCTTTCTTCTCAAAACAGAAGTGAAAGCATCCAAATAAACTCCACAAGAAGGCCAAAAGAAATAATATAGCATTTTAAAATACTAATAAGCAGAATAATTTCAGAAGTATCTAACAGGTTGGCCGAATCTTCAGAATATTCATAATAGTTTCTACTGATCACATCTTTCACATCATTCAGGCATGGAACATAAAGAATAGTTCTAGGATTTAGTGGGGTTTTTCTCCTCTGAGACTAAGATTTTTAAATTTCATCACAGTTCACCAGAGGAGAGACAGTAAAAATATAAACAACAAATGCAAATGATTGCAAGAAACACCATTTTACAAAAAAAAAAACAAAAACAACAAAACTTAAAAACACAGCACTTTTTGGAAACAAAATGATCAGTTGCTTTATACAAGTTCTTGCCTTCCTCTGCTCACTGCACACAATGCCCATGAGGTGGCCTAAGGATTATCCCACATACTGGAACTAAAATAGTCTCTTCCTGAAATAATTTTAAGGTGAAAGTTCAAGGATACTAAAAAAAACCCATTTCCAAACAAAATTCAGAAACTTTTTATACCTAGAGCTGACACTAATGATACACATTTGCAATCCGATCAACGGTTCCTGCAAGCTTTAAATGAAGGAGACATGCAAAAGAGCCGAAGCATCACACACCACTATACCTGGGTCACAGCATCCATGGTGATGGTGGTCGGTCTGACAACACTTGTCCCTTAGAGGCATTTTCCGTGCACACGACCTACTTCCCTTCTACATCCAGCAGCTCGGTTCTGCCAAAATAAGCAAACTGGCAATCACCGCCCAAGCACAAGCGGCTCAGGAGCGCGCCAGCCCCGCGCACCCACTTCCACGGCAGCACGGCCGCGCAGGCCGGTGGCAGCGGCGCCCCGGCGCAGGAGAAAGTTCCCATTGTTTTCCGCAGGTCTCAGACGCCCTCTGCAAGGGCACAGCACGGCCCCGCTCCCGCCCCGCCGCCGCCTGCGCCCCGGCCGGCGGGAGAGCCCCGGGCCGCCGCCCTCCCCACCGAGCGCGGCCCGGCCGCACCGCCCCGCGCCCCGTCCGTGGCGGCGCCGCCGCGTTCCGGCCGTACCTCTCAGCCTCGCCCCGCAGCCCCGCCGATGGGACGGCGCCCCTGGGTCCCGCGGGAAGCCGCGCTGCCGGCGGGCCGGGCGCTCCGCGGCGCCGCCGCAGCCGGAGCGGGGCGCGCCCGCCACGCGCGGCCGGGCGGGAGGCGCGCGCGGCCGCAGGTGACAGCGGGCGCCGACGCCGGGACGGGGCGGGCGCGGCGGGCGGGCACCGCGGGCCGGCCCTACCTGGAGAGGACGGGCGGGCTCCCCCTCCCCGAATTAAACTTTATTCGCCCCTGTCCCGCCAGAGCGGCGGCCGCTGACCCCGGAGCCGGATGGGCACGGGGGCAGGAAGTGACTGCGGTCCTGGCGGCGAGCGCCCGCCCAGTACGCAGGCGCCGCACCGCCGCTCCCCGGCCGGGCCGCACAGGTGCCGGGCGGCGGCCGGGCCGGGCCGGGGCGGCGCGGCCCGCGCGGCTGTGGCGGCACACGGCGGCGGCCCCGGGCGCGCTGAGGCGCAGCGCCTGCCACGGGAGCCAGCCGCCGGGCGGAGCCGCGGCGGGAACCGGCGCCGTCTTTGTCCCGCGGGGAGAAAGGCCCGCGCTGACCGCCGCGCACGCCCGTGATGCGCAGCGCTGCCCTCGGACCGGCGCCCGGACGCACATGGGAGCAGCCAGCATCCCTGGAGCTGGCATTTCTGCTAGCTGGCATTTCTGCCCTTTCAGCCTGGTCTGCGCCATTACAGTGTAAAAAAAGTATGAACCAAACCACCAGTTGTTCTAGTAGACCTACCGAGATTTATGTTCTGAACACTTGGAGGAAAAACTCGTGTTCTGAAAGGGAACGGTGTGATGTGTACGCTAAATGCCGGCCACAGGACGTCGGTGCAGTGGAGTGAGTGGCAGGGCAGCCCGTGTCTCCAGGCACATTTCCACAGGGTCCTGTTTAGTCCTGTGCTGTCTTAGTGCCCTTCTGTAGACACCTCGGGTTCTCGAATAGGTGACACTTGGCTTTTGCCAAAGGAAACGGTACGATTAAGTCTTCATATACTTAAGGAACAACTTCTGCCACTGAAGAAAAATCTGTAAGGTAATGTGAGGAATAAACACATCATCACAGGAAAAAAGGCTTAGTGATGGTACTAACACAAAAACAATCTGTGAAGCTTTAGCTTGTAATAGCATCTCTTAATGGAGATAGGACTGATGGTTTGAGACAAAGTTCCAAGTCACTTTACAGTCTGTGTGATAGTAACATGTCTCACACTTTCTCAAATGAGACATGGAGAGACCTTACCATCTGTGGCCATCAACTAGTACCCAATAATGTCTTCTTTTAAAGTATAGACATTAATTTAATTAATAAGTCTTTTTCCCAAGCAAAATGAGACCAAATTCAAGCTCCATCAGTTGCATTTGTATTTTGGTTAATAAACTGGAAACCTCTTTAGTGTCAGAGAACAGTTCCAACAGCTGAGTGCCAAATAGTATCTTAACCCTGAAGTACAGCAAAAGTCCATTGTCCTTTGTGTCAGACAACCAAACACAGGTCGTTGTGTATTCTCATCTTGAGTTTAGCTACATCCTGAGCTCGGCTCTATGTGTTTTAGACACACAGTGGAAGAGGTATAATCTTTGCCAGCCATGCAGCTGTGTTCAGCCATGTAGAGAGCACTTGGATAGAACTCATGGGTAACAAAGTGCAATAAACACAGCTGTGTGCCCTAGTTCTGCACAACAGCCTACTGACTGTTGTACTTGTCCAAAAAGTATTGAACTTGGAGAATTAATATTCCCCACCTCCCAGGAGATGTGGGAATCACGGTAAATGATTTTACATTCTCACTGATAACACTACGCTACGAGTACTGAAATAGTAGGGTTAGATCAGGAAACTTTGCATCTGGGACATTTACTAGGAACACTGGTAGCCTTGTCACCAATATAATTTTACTCAGTGATCAAAAAGTAAGAAAGGAAAAATCAACTGGCAAATCATAAACCAGCAGTAGAAATTTAGAATCTTTTGGCTATATTAGGGTTTCTGTGTTTAGCCACTCTCAACAGAACTTTTTTCCTCCTTCTAATCCAATGAAAGTTTCTCTTTTTGCAACCTATGGCCTACATTTTGCTTGCATGGCAAGATTTTGGTATTGAGTGGCTTGCCTGAGAAGCTTCTGGAAGCTTCCCTCATGCTAATGCCAGCCAGCTCCAAGATGGACCCACCACTGGTCAAGGCTGAGTTAGCCATTGATAGTAGTAAAGCCTCTGTGATAACATGCTCAAGAAAAAAAGTTACTGCACAGAAGTAACTGTGACCAGAGAAGGGAGGAGTGAGAATATGCGAGAGAAACAGCCCTGCAGACAGCAAAGTCAGTGATGAAAGATGGGGAGGGAGGAGGTGCTCCAGGCACTGGGGCTGGGATTCCCCTTCACCCGTGGTGCAGGCCATGGGAGGCAGCTGTGCCCCTGCAGCCCATGGAGGGCCATGAGGGAGCAGAGATCCCTGGAACACCCTACACCAGAGCAGGTGGATGTCCAAAGGCGGCTGTGACCCTGTGAGAAGCTCATCGTGGAGCAGGTTCCTGGCAGAACCCGTGGCCTATGGAGAAAGGAGCCCACCATAGAGCAGGTTTGCTGGCAGGACTTGTGATCCCATGGGGACCCATGCTGGAACAGTTTGTTCCTGAAGGATTTCCCCTCTGTTGAAAAAAAAGACCCAGGCTGAAGCAATTCCTGAAAAGTTGCAGCCTGTGGGAAGGACTCCTCTCCCTGAGAAGGAAGCAGCAGCAGAAATAATGTAATTAACTGACCATAACAGTAACCACCTGTCCCTGTGCACCACTGCTGGGGAGGAGGTAGAGATTTGGGAATAAAGTTAATCCCTGGAAAGAGGGTGAAGTGGGGAAAATGTGTTTTTAAAATTCATTTTACTTCTGATTATCCTATTCTGATTTTGATTATGATCAATTGATTTCTCCAAGCTGAGTCTGTTTTGTCCAGGTCAGTGGAAGATCTCTCCCCATCCTTTTCTCAGCTCATGAGGTTTCATTATTTTTTTCCCTCCCCTGTCCAGCTGAGGGAAGGGATAGAACAGCTTTGGAGGGCAGCTGGCATCCAGACAATACCATGACCATTCTTTCTTGTCCTTTTCTTATTCACCTCCAGAAAAGGGAAAAGTTCCTCTGTGAGAAGATTATGCCAACATTCCTCCTTCTTAATAACCTCCATTCCGTGAAACATTGGGATTATGTCCTCTCAAAATGAAGGTGAATTCCTTTAGCCTCTCCCTCTGTCACATGCTCCAACCCCTGGAACCACGTTGGTTACCTTCTTCTGGATACTTTTAATCTTCTAAGTATTCCTTGCATACTTAGAAGCCCAAGCTCCATGCAGTGTTGCAGATGTGGTTTCACAAATGGCAAGTAGAGAATAAGGCTCTCCCTTCACCCGCTGTGATGTTGATGTGGCACAGTATAGTGGTTAGGCTTAATTACCCAAAGTTGCACTGCTGATCCTCATTTCACTTTTTAACTGGGACACACAGGTCCTTTTTGTGGAGCTGCTGTCTCATTAGTCAGTCCTCAGCCTATACCAATGCTAGGCTTTTTTGCCCTAGGTGCAAGGCTTTGCCCTGTCAGGATGTTCTCCAGCTTGTTGAAGGCAGAGCAATCCTGCCTTCCAGTATGTCAGACAGTCCCTGGTTTCAGCCCCTTTTTTCATTATAAAAGACCATGACATGGGTTATACAAAATGTGCCTTTCTGCCTTCCCCCTCTCCAATTTTAGAAATTCCAACTAACATCAAGTTGCTGTATTTTTTGGGAGGTGGAAGTGCATATTTTTGGAAGAGGGCCAAACAGAAACAGCAACTGGAATCTTATTCTATCTTAAACACATTTTCATAATTTTTGTGTTCCATAACTTTGTGTGAACTTTTTGTTTATAACTTAAGGAAGACCTTAAATGGTCACTATTGCATGAATGTGTAAATCTTAGTAATTTAGCTGACCTTGTAACCTCTTTGTGGGTGGAAGACCCTAATCTGTATATTGCTGTTTAACTCCTCATAGAGTTTACGATGTAACTAATTAGTAACATGGACAAACAACCACACCCAAATTTTGACCAGTAAGTCAGTCATGTGCAAAGTGTCTCTGGGACTGATAAAAGCTGCCAGCAAAGATCGGGTAGTTCCACCTGATCTGGTAGAAAGGAGAGAATTAATGCTGTGACACTGCCGGAACAGAGTTCATTTTTGCAGAGATGAAGTTGGATTAACCCTGAAGGATCTCACATGCAGTATGTGTTAATCAAGAAAAGTGCAAAATGGAGTCCTTTCAGCCGGTAGCCTGCCATTGAATGAGAGAAATTTGGATCAGGGTAGCAAAGATTCCAATACAGCTCACTTCGCAATACAGTGCTGCAGTTGTTCATCCAAGAAGTTAAACTGAAACTTAAATCCAATTTGAGTTTCATTGTGTGTAAAAAGAACAAGCATATGATGTTGCCTGACTTTGAAAAATAAAATATTCCTCTGTAAAATATGAACAGTAATTAATATTTATAATAACTTTCTTTTTGTCTTGTATTGATAAGATTCAATGAAAATGAAAAAGATTTTTTGAACAATATATAATTCTTCATACAATCCATAATTAGCTTGTGTCCAGGGAACATGGCAATTCACAGTGAAACCAGATACAGAATGCATTTGCATATAACAAATGTAAAGATTAAAATATTTTTGATGCACTTCATGTAAATTCTAGGCATAAAATATATTATTAGGGGAGGGGGGTTTGAGTTTAGCTTTCATTCTCTGGCCAGTGTTCTCAACATAACCATCAGGTTTTGAAGCAGAATCTTTATTTATTCATTATCTTCTAGATGATGGGGAGCTGGTGAGAAGTTTTGAACTAAGTCTTGTGTTATTTTTTATTATTTCTGGATTGTGAATATGGCTTTGAAAAAATTCAAAATTCAGAACAATTTCTCTTAGTTACAGGATTGTACTTTCAAAATATATGACCTATTCTAGCAAGGGAGGTATACTTTTGGTAGAGGATATTTTAGTGTTGTCTCAAACAGTTGTGATAGTAGGTTTAGTATCCACT